ATACTGCCCTATCCTGCCACTATACTATCCCCCTGCCCCATCCTGCCACTATACTGCCCCATCCTGCCACTATACTGCCCTATCCTGCCACTATACTGCCCCATCCTGCTACTATACTGCCCCATCCTGCTACTATACTGCCCTAACCTGACACTATACTGCCCTATTCTGCTACTATACTACCCTAACCTGCCACTAAGATTCCCTAATCTGACACTATACCACCCTAATCGGATACTTTAATGCCCTAGTCTGACACTGTACTGCCCTAGCCTGACACTATACTGCCCTTTACTGACACTATACTGATCCAAGTTATGCATTGTGTGAAGAAGAGGAGTTCTGCTTGTGCCCAGAATGTATGTAGTACAGAGATGGAAGAAGGAGCTGTGCCCTGTCCTCTGCCCAGTCGGCAGTGATCTCTGTCCTCTGCCCTGCCAGCAGTGACCCCTGTCCTCTGCCCTGTTGACCTCACATCCTTTGCCCTCCTGACATTTTTTACTGCACCCCACATCGGACAGGCTAGATCCAGCCCTGATGTGGTTAGTATGCTGCCATGGATTGGTGCCAGGGAAGGAAAATCATGATAGATGTTTGGTACAATGTTCCATTTTTCTGGCACCAACATGGCAACATACACATGGTTAGTATGCTGCCACAGATTGACTCCAGGAAAGGAAAATAACAATAGGCTATTGATACAATTTTCTGTTTTCCTTCCTAGCACCAACATGGCAACATACTAACAACATGTATGCTGCCACGTTGGTGCCAGGAAAACAGAAAATTGCATTGAATACTTACCATAATTCTCCTTTCCTGGAGCCAGTCCATAGCAGCATGCTGCCAAAGTTATGCTGTGATGGATTGGCACCAGAAAAGGAAAATTTACAGTAAATATTTGAGACTATTTTCTATTTTCCGTCCAACACTAGAAGCTGAACAGCACACAAGAAAGTTTGTATATCTCTTACACAATATTTGCAGCCTTTCTCCCAAAAACACAAGCAGTTAACATTTTGAACCCAACATGGCACCATACACGCAGTTAGTATGCTGCCATAGATTGACTCCAGGGAAAGAAAATAACAATAGGTTATTGATACAATTTTCTGTTTTCCTTCCTAGCACCAACATGGCAACATACTAACAACATGTATGCTGCCATGTTAATGCCAGGAAAACAGAAAATTGCATCAAAGATTTACCATAATTTTCCTTTCCTGGTGCCAGTCCGTATCAACATGTATACTGTCATGGATTGGCACCAGAAAAGGAAAATGTACAGTATTTGATACAATTCCATTTTTCGTCCAACACTAGAAGCTGAACAGAACATGAGGAAGTTTGTATATCTCTTACACAATTTTTTGCAGCCTTTCTCCCATAAACACAAGCAGTTAACATTTTGATCCCTTCCAGTAGATGACAACTGCAGAATAGATGACATTGTTAAAGGAAACAAGTACGCATTTCTGCAACAAAATAGGAATAAGAATTTCACCCCGGCATTGTGCTTCAGATTCGGTCACTGTGTTCCAGGGATTTATACAAAACTCTTAGATCTGTCCATTTGAGTTTTAATCTAGGAAGCTGTTGCAAGTATATTTATTTTCGAGGATTTTCAGTTTTAGCTGTCATTTTCACAGCAGTTCAAACAGTTGCTACAAATGGGAGTTGCTGATTCCAAGTATTGTTTGGCATGGTTAACCAGCAAATCAAATCACTCCTTTTGTAGACGCCAGTTTTTTGTTTTTTTTTTTCTGCATCTGTTCCCAAGTTACATTGTCTCCTTTTGTTTGATCTGTGACCTGTGTTATTCTGCAGCACTTCCATCATTGCTAGTTGTCCAGTTTAATATTAAAAAAATGTGCTTTAAAGTTGTGCATGTGACCTTTCATGTTCTAAATCACAAAACATAGTTTTAGTCTCTTGCAAAAGAATATACAGGATTTTATTGGAGATGCTCTCTATAAAAGAGTTGAGTACTGCACCGTATCTTTTTTCCAATTTCAGTATTTTCATTAAGGTTTCTTAAGACATATAGGGGAAGATTTATGAAAACTGGGGCAGCTTCCAGGTTTTATTGTCAAAGCTTATTTGAACAAGCTGAGGTTTGAAGCTGATTGGCTACCATGCACAGCTGCACCAATCTATCTTAGATTGTAAGCTCTACAGGCAGGGCCCTCTAATTCCTCTGATACCAAATTGTATTGTAACTGTAATGTCTAAATTCATTTTGTAAAGCTGGCGCTATATAATGCCTGTATATTAAAAATATTATAATAACCCACATGGAAGAAAAATATATTTTAAATATATTTTAAAAATATTCTTCACATATATATTGACATATATTTGAAAAATGACAATTTTGGCTGTATTCAATATATTTAAAAAAAAAAATAACTATATATATATATATATATATATATATATATATATATATTGCATGTTGAAATGCATTTTTTATATATTACAAAATTTTGGTCATATTCAATATATTTCCAAATATATTTCAATAAATATATATATATATATATATATATATATATATACAGTATGTTGAAATGCATTTTTTATATATTACAAAATGTTGGTCATATTCAATATATTTCCAAATATATTTCAATAAATAAATTTAAAAAAATATATATATCTTTATATATATCTAGAGAGAGAGAGAGAGAGAGAGATACTGTATGTGAAATGTGTTTTTATTACAAAATATATGAAAAATATTTTTACATGCATTTACAAATATATGTACAAATATATGTTAAAATTACTTTTTTATATGTTAAAAAACATCCGAAGAATATATTTAAAAAAAATATATATGTTTAAATATGTGATGTTTAAATAATATTTTTCATATATTTTGTAATATATAAAAAATGCATTTCACAGTATATATATATATATATATATATACTGATATTGATCCTAAAAAATGGGGTGGCCCATCTTATTAATTACTTCCAGTCCAGGCGAATTCTGACATTCCTCTCCTACATGTAAAAACATAATTTTTTTCTAGAAAACTATGTAGAACCCACAAGCATTACATATTTTTTAAGCAGAGACCCTAGAGAATAAAATGGTGGGTGTTACATATTTTTATGTCACACAGTATTTGCGCTGCGTTTTTTCAAACGCAAATTTTTTGGGAAAAATACACTTTAATTAATTTTAAAGCACAAAAACACAATATAATACCCAATTGTTTGTTAAGATATAAAAGATGAAGTTACACTGACTAAATAAATACCAAACATGTCAGGATTTAAAAATGCGTGCACCCTTGGAACAGCACCACACTACAATACATAAAAATCCCCATTGGTGACGCTTTAAAAGCCTTTACAATTTACCAGTTTAGAGTTACACAGGAGGCCTGGTGCTAGAATTATTGCTCTCGCTCTGACATTTGTAAGGATACCTCCCATGTGTGGTACAATAGCCTTTTACATAGGCGTGTGGGACCAGCGTAGGTGTTCGCATTTTGCGCGTGAGCACGTGGAAATGGGAGCGTTTAAAATTTTGATTTTGTAATTGTATCATTTGTTTTACTTTTTTTACACTGAAACTTTGTCTTATCACGTTTATTGCTGTCACAAGGGATGAACAGCATCCCTTGTGATAGCATGAGCCGTGACAGGTCCACTTTTTGGAGAGATCTGGGGTCTATTAGACCCCACATCTTTCCTCTGACCTTCAAAGCAGCAGATCAAACCAAGATCGGATTGATCTGATGCTTTCACAAGCTGGCTTGTTTACATGAGCCCGAAACTGTAAGTAACGAAATCCTTGTCACTTCCAGTTTCTGACATCAAACAGTGGAAGGAACAACATCTGTTTCTCTCACTGTGTGCCCAGAACTAGATGCCACCAGATGCATCCTTTCCAGGCTCCCTGATCAGTGCCTTAGCAGCTCAATGTGCAGAGTCCCCCAATGTAAAAAATGATATCTTGGTCATCTCTGCAGCGATGAGCGAGATATCACCCTTCCCATCCAGGAATGTACATGCACGTCCTATGGATGGGAAGAGGATAATTTTGTTGTTCTTTGCTAAACTCTTTCTAATTCAACATCTTTCATGAGGATTGGTGACCAAAATTATACTGCATATTCAAGCTGAGGGTTAACCAGCAAGGGCGGACTGACAACTCATGGGGCCCCCGAGCAATAGGGGATCATGGGGCCCCTGTGTCCTTGCCCAAACTCAAAAAAGCCTATGAAAAAGGTACCAGGGGCATCTCATGGGGCCCCCTACTGTCCCCGGGCCGTCGGTCAGCGCCCGAGTTTCCAAATGGTCAGCCCGTCCCTGTTAACCAGTCTTTGGTTAAAGGGTAGATTTATTGATTTCTCTCTGGAATATATGCCCTTTTTAATGCATGACAGTATTTTGCTGGCTTTGTTAGCTGTGGCTTGACATTGCATGCTATTGCTACGTTTGTGATCTACAAGCACCCCCAGATCCTTTCCAATCACTGAATCTCACAGGGGAGAACCTCCTAATGTGTATTTTGTGGCACCAAATTGCATAACTTTAGATTAGTTCCAGTATTGAACCACATCTGCCAGGTAACTAACCCCCCATTTAATCAAGGTATTCCTTTAATGATGTTACATCCTCTGCCGAATTTAGTTCCCTGAATAATTTGATATCATCAGCAAACCCTGAAAGTGACCACTTTGTTGGTCCTCACCGCTTGCTGTAGAGGGCATCAGGGTGGTCAAGCAGATGAGAACCATTACAGTTGCACCACTTGCTTTGATGACTGGAAGGAAACTTTCTTCCAGGTATACAGTACTTCCTTTCTCAGAAAAATGCTGAATTTGTCATTTAAAGAACATCTAAGCAAGGACAATAGGACAAACTAAAAAAAAAACTACACACAAAGAAGCAAATAAATGCAGTCAATGTTTCAGGTTTTCAAGCTTTTAATCTGCTGAGTAAAGACATTTATTGAAGATTCTGTTTCCTTTCTTCCAGGTCATTATCTTCTTTTTCCTTTAAAGTTATTCCATCTGAGGTGTTTCAACATTTCCGACAAGACATCTTAAGCATGTAAGTAATTTTACTGGAAAAACATGTAATTATTCTGTGAATCTATTGACCTGCACTGAATATAGCTCACACGTAGAAGAGAGATTAACTCAAAAGGACATTAGCCACAGTGAATGTAACAAGAGCTATTGATTGGTTTCTCAAAATTGTTAATTTGTAAGATATATGTTTCAGTTTTGTGCGCACTGTGAACGTTACATTCTTAACTGATCAGGTACATTTGATTATCTATAGTGTTTCTGCAGAGAAAAGGGCATGAAGCCTGTAATAGGTTGTCACTAATTTATTGTGGGTCCTTGGACCTTTGCCTGTGCAATGGTGGCCTCAGAGCTCTTATAGTAAACATGTACGACATTGCTGACTTATTTTGAAAGGTTTAGCTTCCATGGCTGCCTTTCTGAGCCTAGCTTGACTGATGAAGAACAAAAAAGCAAGGTAGGAGTAAGAGTTCACTGGTTCTATGCCTGTTCCATGTGTAGGTAGGTGTAGGTTGACCTCCCTACACAGGTGTCTCTGTTGCAACCACCCTGGTGTTTACATGCAAAGCTTACCATATGTAGTGATTGGCGGGTGGCAAGCCCGCTGAATGCGACACACTCAAGCCAATAGGGAAGCACTGCAACTGCCCCACAACCATGTTCAATGAATGTTTGCAGCACATTTTTTTGGTACAAATGGGGTCAAAACAGGTGGTGAGGAGGCATCATATCATTCATATGTAAGATTTGGGATGGGACCACATACCATCGCATTATAACTTTATAGGCTATAGACTTCTGTATCAGTGACATTTAGGAAGCATTTAGCTATATTACCCTAAATGGCTACCCAACCCTCTTCTGTTTTAGCCTGCTGCAGGTCAGTTTCCCTTTCAACCACATAACCATCTCTAGTATATTGTGGAAACGTGTGTTTTTGTTTTTGTTTTTTTTTTTCAAAATTTTTTTTTATTTTATTAAGAATAAGGCATAGCAAAGCAAATACAACTACGGATCGCAGTCCAAGAATAGACACTGTAAGCGGGTGTCCCGTATTGCAGACGGGTCAGACAAATAGATTACAATGCAATTATAGTGTAACAATGCAGGAAGACAGATGTACCGTATTTTTCGCTCCATAAGACGCACCTGACCATAAGACGCACCTAGGTTTTAGAGGGGAAAAACAAGAAAAAAAAATATTCTGAACCAATGGACTGCAGACACAGTACAGGGGATGACCAGAGACTGCGGACACAGTGCAGGGGATGACCAGAGACTGCAGACATAATACAGGAGATGACCAGAGACTGCGGACATAGTACAGGAGATGACCAGAGACTGCAGACAGTGCAGAGAATGACCAGAGACTGCAGACAGTGCAGGGAATGACCAGAGACTGCAGACAGTGCAGGGGATGACCAGAGACTGCAGACAGTGCAGGGAATGACCAGAGACTGCAGACAGTGCAGGGAATGACCAGAGACTGCTGACCTTTGGGGAGGGAGGGGGAGCGGGTACCTGAATTTGACAGGTACCCGCTCCCACTTCCGCGGAGTTGTCCTTCCTTCCTTCTTCCCGGGCCAGCTTCTGTGACAGCCGGGTGTCCACTGCGCATGCGCGAGAAGCGCTGCGCTTTGTGAATGGCCCGGCGCCTTCTGGGACCTGTCATGTGTCCCAGAAGACACCGGATCATTCACAAAGCGCAGCACATGCGCAGTGGGCACCCGGCTGTCACAGAAGCCAGCGCGGGAAGACTGTGCAGCGCTGGAGCGAGGAACAGGTAAGGCCCTGCAGGAGAGAACAGCTGAGCGGCCGGCCCGGTATTCTGACATGGTGGAGGCAGAAATACCAGACCGGCCTCTTTATATTCGCTCCATAAGACGCACTGACATTTTCCCCCCTTTTTTGTGGGGAAAAAAGTGCGTCTTATGGAGCGAAAAATACTGTATATTACATATCTGCAGATATGAAAAATTTACTAGACGAGGTAATGTAAATAGTGAAGGGAACTAACCCATGTAATAATGAGCTTTTATGATGAGGGGGTACGAAGTGTCGGATAAGGATAGCTTTGAGAAGGTTATGTGTTCAATATTGTGTATCCAGATTAGAGAATGTGTGTTACCTAGAAGTATTTGCGTCTGTAAGAAATTAACTGCTGTATTCTGCTGAGGAAATGTGGATGATGTGAGTATTTACTAAAGGAAGAATAAAGATAAGCCTGAGAAAATAGATCAGGTAGAGAAAGGAATGTGAAGTGGTGTAATTGGAAATGGGGGGGGGGGGGGCGAAGGGAAAAAAAACCAAAAAAAACAATAATAATAATAAATTGATTAATTATTCCTGCACTTCTCCCTCATCCCCCCTCTCCCTCTCCCTCCCCAAAATAAGAATTTGGGGGAAAGAGAAGACACAATGGAAGGACAGACAAGTGTGGCGAAGTGGATCATATTCTTGGGTAGGAGCCGAGCCGGTAAAGTCATCAGGCAATTTAGCAGATAATATGCATAAGGACAATCAATAGGGCAAGATACGGGTCAAACACTCCAACACCCGTTATGCAACCAGTTTTCAACCCATCTAATTGTAAATCTAAAATCTCCCTAATGAACTGGGCATTCTCTGAAACATCATTACGTATAACCATTCAGTCTGGGGGTCTAGATTGGTCATGTAGTGCTGTGTGGTAAGTAGTGGTGGTTTTGAAGTGACTCCAGCATCCCCATGTTTTTCTGAATCTCTCGGGGGTGGAAACGTGTTTAGCTGTAAGTTTTGGGTAGAGATTTGTTTTAGCTCATTCAGATTTTGTTAGTAGATACATTCAAAACTGGTTAGAAGTTTGGCAAGGTCTCTATTTTTAATGAGAGTGGAGATGCATTGTTTTATTTGCAAAAACCTATAAAGGTCCGAGTGCTGGTAGTTGATTATCTGAGCAAATAACGTCCCAAGAGATAATAGAGGCAGGGGTAAAAAAAATGCTGAAAGTATGAAATCTTCCACCAATCAAAAGCTCTTGGTTCTAAGTGAACTGGCTTGAACATGACTTGTGATAAGAGTGGCAAAAGATGCATGATGGGTCAAGAAACCACAAGAATGTTTGATTCTATTCACGATCTTTATTTTATGCTTATAAAGTAGGACAAGGCTCCCTGGTCTGAGATGAGGCAGAAGTCAGGGTAACACCTGCAGGGTACTGGGGTGATGACTGGGGATTTCCAAAAAATCCACGGGAGTATAAAGAGTAACCAAGGGGAGAAGTTATGTTCTGTGGGTAGGTCTCTCTCATTTATGTTTCTATAGAGTGTGGTTTTAAGGAGCCACTGCCTTATGGAGTGCTATACAAAGACGTTCACGATCTTCTGTAATGAGAGTCAAAAGAGGGTAAGGGGACTGGATGCTTCTTTCAATATAAAAGTTTAGATACTCTACTTAACCAGGAAAGTATGTATGAAGGCCACAACTGATGGAGAGACTTAAAAGAAAAAAAAAAAAGGCACATAATTAACCTTATAGGGAATGTCATAGGGCATGAGTTCAATGAGGAAAGAACAGCTGCTCTGTAACATGGTTCACAGATGCTGAGGCAGAGTTATATTCAAAGTGGAGGATTTACCCCAGTTACTTACAAGCCATAGTTCCAGGACAATGGCAGGACACTGACCAAGGAACTGTTTTTATATTTGCCAACTGGAAATAAAATAAGTATTAATGAGTTGCTAATATTTGATCAATATGACAAAATGTGTGTGATGATTGGAATAAATTGTTAAGACCTTAATGACTGGATTGAGATGTTTCCAGATATCAGCAATATGGTTTGTGTTAATAAAAGTGGAGACCTTGAGGTACACTATATTGCCAAAAGTATTGTGACACCCCTCCAAATCATTGGATTCAGGTGTTCCAATCATCTCCATGGCCACAGGTGTATAAAATCAAGCAACTAAGCATGCAGACTGCTTCCACAAACATTTGTGAAAGAATGGGTCGCTCTCAGGAGCTCAGTGACTCCAAGCGTGGTCCCGTGATAGGTTGCACCTGTGCAATAAGTCTATCCGTGACATTTCCTGGCTACTAAATATTCCACTGTCAACTGTTACTGGTATTATAACAAAGTGGAAGCAACTGGAAACAACAGCAACTCAGCCACCAAGTGGCAGGCCACATAAAATGAAAGCGCGGGCTGAGTACAGTGCCCACATTTCACCAACTGTCTGCAGAGTCAATAGCTAAAGACCTCCAAACTTCATGTGGCCTTCAGATTAGCACAACAGTGTGCAGAGAACTTCATGGAATGGGTTTCTATGGCCGAGCAGCTCCAACCAAGCCTTACATTACAGAGTGCAATGCAAAGCGTCAGATGCAGTTGCGTAAAGCACGCCACCACCACTGGACTCTAGAGCAGTGGAGACGTGTTCTCTGGAGTGATGAATCAAGCTCTGTCTTTCAATCCAATGGACATGTCTGGGCTTGGTGGTTGCCAGGAGAACGGTACTAGCCTGACTGCACTGTGCCAAATGTAAAGTTTGGTGGAGGGGGATTATGGTGTGGGGTTGTTTTTCAGGGTTGGGCTTGGCCCCTTAGTTCCCGGTTTCAGATGTCTTGCAAATCGCGCCTGAAATTGGCAGTTCATCCAACTTTGAAATTGTACAAGTTCAATGTAAGTCGCATGATTTCAAAGTCTGGCTTGAACTGGGGGCTTAAGGAGTCATCATACCAAGACATTTTTCTACAATTTCATGCTCCCAACTTTGTGGAGACAGTTTGGGGATGGCCGCTTCCTGTTCCAACATGACTGCGCACCAGTGCACAAAGCAAGGTCCATAAAAACATGGATGAGGGAGTTTGGGGTGGAGGAACTTGACTGGCCTGCACAGAGTCCTGATCTCAACCTGACAGTCAGTCCTGATCTCAACACCTTTGGGATGATGAATTAGAGCGCAAACTCCGAGCCAGGCCTCGTATCCTACATTAGAGCCTGACCTCCCAAATGCTCTTCTGGAAGAATGGTCAAACATTCCCATAGACACCCTCCTAAACCTTGTGGACAGCCTTCCCAGAAGAGTTGAATTAGGTATCTTTCAGTGGGGTCTGCCATCTGTTTATTGCAAACAAAGGGTCAATTCTTGTTAAAAGCTGGAACACCGTGGGTTGATTTATTAATGGCAAACAGACTGCACTTTGCAACTGCAGTTGCTCCAGAGCTTAGTAAATAAGGCAAAACTG